CACAAGTCTGGTAGGAAAAGTGTGAGGGATTTTTAATCATCTAATAAAGACCAAAAAATGTTTTTTTAAATGTAGGCAAAAATATTTACAGCCCTCTTCCCAGGAGAAGTAGCACAGTTCTCTTCTTTTTTACCTTGGAAAAACAACCAAGAGTGGCTCTAATACCCTTGAATATTCTTTGATAGTTTGCTTCCTTTACTGCAACTTGGGGGAAGGGTCATAAATAGGATCTAAAGCTGTTTTTAATATGTAATATGCTGTCATGGTTTTTTCCCTCTTCATTTTTTAAAAATATTCTATTTTTAAAAAATCATTTTCATGTCAGCCTGATCTGAGGCCTTGCCTGTGACAGAGGGTAAATGAAATAACATATTCAAGGAAATGTTTGTTTTTATTGTAATGCAATTATCTTTGGAGATGAACATCTCTCTCTCCCTCTCTCTCTTTTTTAGCTGATCAAAATATGTTTTCGTTGGTATTAACAACCTTCTCAGTCAATTTTCTTAACATTTGTGGTGTATAAACATGACACTACTCCAGAAAGAACTGCAGCAAAATGCGCTTATTAATTCTAATGTTGCCAACTTTTGATGATTACTTCCCTATGTATTTTACAATGTGGGTACCTTTTATCATTGTCTTCAAAGTCCAAAGGAGGTTCCATGCAACTTTGGCATGACAGTTATGGATGACCACTCCTCTTTAGCCATCCAATCAGATTAAACAAGAGTTTAGACCCACTGAAGGAGAGAGCCTGGTTTCTAGTCCAAAAAAAAGGCTGGAATGGTACCAGGTCCCTCAAATCAGCCTGGAAATACCTGCCTGTATCCTAAACTACCTGACAGTATACTGTACTATTAAGAGCTAAAATATTTAGAGTTGATGTTTTTCCCTCGCTAAAGTTGGAAAGCTTGCTCTCCCTCTCTCTCTTTCTGTCTTTCACTCTGCTGCTGTCAGTTTGCTGCCTGCACTTTAGCTGTCTCTTTCCCAGTCCCTACCCTGTCAGTTTCTGGCCTGCCAATTTCAACTTGAAGCTTGACTGGGCTGATTTGATGCAAATACCTCCAGGGAAAACCCTGAAACTGATGAACAGTTATGTCAAGTCGATTTTGCACCATCGGGAAAAGGTAACCTCTGCGAGAAAAAAAAACAACAAGGTTAAAGAGACAAGGGCTTTTCACGTGTAATACCACTGCTGCACATCTCGTTCACTGTTTACCATCCCTCAGAAATTGTAACTGTCAGAATTAGTCCTAATTGCAGATGCGAAAGCTGCCATTATAATAAAAACAGAGGCAGTGCAGGCATTAAATGTAGCAGCCTAATTTGTGAGACTACTGAAAAGGTAGAGTAAATGAATATTTCATTACTTTAATTACCAGGGACTACTCTTTTCTTGCTGTCTTATGATAAGTGTTGCTGTAACTAGCAACAGCAAACATCCACTAAAACATAAAGTGCAATAATAGTACTGCTGTCAGGATCACTGCTTTAAAATACGAGGGGGGGGGGGAAGAGATATAATGGGTTATCTATTTCTTAGAGATTCGCAGGAGTAGGAGATGGAAACTCATTTAATGTCAAAAAACAAAGAGGCGAGTAAACAGGTTTTAGTCAAAGAAAATAATGGCCCAGAGGGGGGAAAAAAATAATAAGTTGAGGACACATTTGAAATCCCGGCCTTTAGAAGAATGCTTGCAAGTGGGAAGCAGAAGGCAATTTGTCCCCTTTGCTCTTTGAAAGCAAAACTTTCGGCTGGTGCTGCAGCGGGGACGTGTGGAAACAAAGCGGAGGGGTTGCTGTGCGAGGGGAGCCCGGGGCCGAGGGGACGTGCGCGGGGCACGGGCCGGGCACGGGGGAGATGCCCAGGTAGAGGGCCGGGGTGTTTGCTCCACAGCGCCCGAGCCCCGCGCACGTCGGCCGGGCGGCGCCGGGCTCCCCCCGCAGCGCCTCTGCCTCCAGCCTGCAGCCTGCCCGGGGCCAGGACCGAGCCCAGCTGCCCGGCCCCCCTGGCAGGTCGGAGCCTCAACCTGGAGCCGGCCCTGGGGAGCATGGCCTGGGCGGGGACAGATGCACAGTTACCCCGCGCCAGCAAAGTGCCTGGACTCTTTGCTGGAGCATTTGAAGCGGCTGAACCGATGCACCCACTTGTTAGGGGGAGGGGGAGGGGGGGGGGCAGA